ACATTCTCCCTAGTATTTTAGTGGCAATTTCGATTGGAAAAAAAGTGCTCTGCCTGTTTCAAGAAGATACTTATTTTTTCTTTCCACCACACAATTCTGCTGTGGTGTATAGGGGAAAGTTCTTTGGTGGATAATACCTTTAGATTGGAATAGCACACTTGCTTTCTGTGTTGGTGAATTCTAACCCATTGTCTGACCTTATGGCCTTTATAGTCACAACAAATTGATTTTCCACTAGATTAATAAAGCCTTTGAGCACTTGGAGAGCATTATTTTTACTAGATAAAAGGTGAGTCCAGGTAGACCTACTGAAGTCAGCCACTATGGTCATGAATGTGTAGGAACATGATATGGGCCCCATAGATCAATATGTAATAGTTCAAAAATTCTGCTAGTTGTACTAGTTCTCTAAGGAAATGGGAGTCTTTCTTGTTTAGCCATGGGGCAAATGGTACAGTTGAAAGGTTGTTTGGGAGAGAAAGTTAGAGGAATGAAAGAAATGTTCTTCCATTTGATAAAAGGGACATGTCCAAGTCTGTTGTGCCATAACACATTCTTATTATCTCCAATTCATAAATGAGAAGATGGATTTATAAGAGAAAATTGTCCTTCATTATTTGCACATGAACTATTTACAATTGGATGGAAGGAAACATACATATTGACATGTAATGGCTTATTTACAACAGAATGAGTAGGACATTATGTATTATAAGTGCAACAAGTAAAAGTAGCTGGTAAGATATCAGAGGTCTTTACTATAGGGCTTGTATTGTTGCTCTTCAAGCAGCTTGGGCACATGATGTACAGCCCATCATTGACCCTACCAATCACCAGAGGCCACTTCATTGAAGGGGCCTACAGTATTCAATACTATTTAGCAAAGGCAACAAGGCAGTTGAGATGAGAGGCCAGAGAATGAACAGAGATCAAATTGTATCTAAAGGAAGGAACAAACATCACCCTGTCTAAAGTGATCTTAAGAGTGAGTATCTCACTACCAATCTCTATCACCTTTACTTTGCAGCCATTTGGAAACATAACTAACAAAGGATAGGGTAAGGTTATTATGTTGGTTAATAGGGATCTATTAAAGGTTATATTGTTTGATGCCCCTGAATCTATAATCCATGAGTCAGTCTTGTTTTTGAAACATTCACATGATAACTTACCAAAATCAATAAAGGAAGTGTAGGCTATAATATCTGCAAAGCTTGCTGCTCCAGTTGGAATATTGGCACTGTTTGTACAATCTCGTCCTCCTTCTGATTAAAACTGTTGCAACAGACTCACTAGCTGACCATATTCCTCTTTGGTGAGGCTCACACTTTGAGCATTATCATGAGAAGCACATTTCTTAGTGTCAGTAGGTTGTGTATCTATGGCTGCCACATATGCATTAGCCACTACTCTATTTCCTCTATTGAGCTTACTGTTCTGGTTACCATTGAGATTATGTCCATAGTTGAAGTTTTGTCTTGGATTCTGATTGAAGTTGGAAACCAGATTGTGATTTGTGTTTGGATTCTGATTTTGACTGAAACTTTGAGGATGGTCATGAAGCTTATAACATTTCTCTTTAGTATGACCTGGTCTCTTGCAATGATCGCAGAATGGTTTGTTTATATTGCTGTTATTGTTTTTAGGAGAGTAATTAGTCCTGAAGGACCCTGGTCTACTTGTGCTAGATTCAAGGTTGTTGATTCAAGAGCTAGATGGTTATTTGGCTTGATTTCTCTTTGTCTTTCCTCTTGAATTAGTAGTGAAAAAGCCTGGGCAATTGAGGGAAGAGGATTCATCATGAGTATACTACCTTGGACTAAAGTGCATGTCTCATTCATTCCCACGAGGAACTGTATCAACCTCCTATCTTGTTCAGCTTTGTGCATACTTTCCTTGGCCACACACGTGCAATTGCAAGTACAATGAGATTTGGCAGTTAAAGTGTCGAGTTCTTCCCATAACTTCTTCATCTCAGTGTAGTAATCAGTGATGTCAAGAGTTCCTTGGGATAGATCATTAATTTTCTTTTGAATTTGGTACAGTTTTGTTCCATTAATTTGATCATATCGATCTTCAAGTTCTCTCCATAATTCAACTGCATCTGTCACATACTCAATACTGTCTGCAATTTTTTTAGCTAGAGAGTTCAGGATCCATGAAGTTACCATATCATCACACCTTTTCCACAATCGATATTTCGATGAGTCTAGATCTGGTCTTTTGCATTCCACGTTGATGAACCCTAGCTTATTTTTTATTGGTAGGGCTCACATTCCACCTCTTCTCCATGAACATTATCCAAAACCATCAAATGGAACAGGAACCAATGCTGCTTCGGGATAATCAGACGGATGAATATAAAAGGGGCTACTAGTATCAACAATTAGCTGATTAGGAGATTTAGCCATGGACGATGTAGATTGTTCATCATCTTCGACGTTAGTCATCTCGCACAGTATGAGATCTTTAAGTGACCGAAGACTAAAAAGTAGTAATTACAGATCTAAAAAGCTAACAATGAATAGAGTACAACTTTTTCAAAATTACGACTCGAGATCGATGAAAAATGAAACTTGCATGAGTACGTTCTAATCGAATTACAGGATGACGGATCGAGATTTAACAGAATCAGAGGAACGAGTCAAAACCTGTGATAGGCTATGATACCATATTAGATTTGTCAATGAAACAGTAATTTGAGCTTTAGCTGAACTTCAATGATGATGAGAGCTTGACCTCTTCGCCATGAGAGAAGGGAATGGAGAGAATAGGGAAGAATGAGAAAATGCATCTTCCAGAATTCTAATTCTCTTATTGAATTCTAAGTGGAGAACCTACTATATACAAAAAATGAAAATGACAGAAAACAAAACTAAACATAACTGACTAACTAACAAGTGAGTTGGATACAGCTGTCAACTCACTGCTACACTAACCAACTAAGGACTAAGCTAAGTAAAGCTCTTACTAAATTACATAATTAATCTTAACAAAATTTACCTTGAGTATTTGCTACATTTGATATTTTACATACAACGCTATTTTTTTGTGTTCAATTAGTTGTAACATTTTGTGTTCTTTCTATTTTTCTCTTTAAGTTTTAATTTATGAGTAAATGAGAGGCATGCATTTGTAGGCTGGCTCCATATTAAAGAATGGCATGACCATTTGACCTATGTATAACATATAGTGGTCATACCCTGTAAAATTTTGGAAAAAATCTTGTATATATATGCACTTATACCTTAAATATTAGTATATAAACAACTTGGTAACCTGAACATTAAAGCCTTTAGGGGCACCAGTTGAACAGAATAGTTGTGCCCCTATAGTGTGAAAATTCTGGGTCCGCCTATGTTCTTGTATATCTACTATTCACACCATCTGATTCTTCGTTTCAGGAGGAGATCTTGAGCTCTATTTATATGTAGTACCAGTACTTTAATTTCTCTCATAGCAATGCAGAGAACTAGCTGACTTCTCCACAAGTTTGATGTTTAATTTGTATCAAAGTTCCAGAAGGAATAATAAGTAAGTCGTGTATATGCTCATGCATTTATGTTTTATACATATATATTTGTTTATTTTGAAGGGGAGTTTTGAGTTCTATTCCACATATTTAATAAATTTTTAAAGATAAATACAGAATTTGGANGAGATCATGGGTTCAAGCCGTGGAAACAGTTTCTTGCAGAAATACAGGGTAAGACTGCGTACAATAGACCCTTGTGGTCCGACCCTTCTCCCACCCCGTGCATAGCGGGAGCTTGGTGCACCGAACTGCATTTTTATATTTGTTTTTCTCCTAGTTAAAGTATAGCACTCTTTGACTATATAATACCTATTATTATTGAAATATATGTGTCAAGTTCACATGTAAGTTAATGCTTTATATTGTCAGGTGTTTAGTCAGTTGATGTAGTTTCTTTTTTTTCTTTTTTCTTTTTTGATAAAGGAGCCTGGGGGCGCTGATTATTATTAAGCATTAAACTTAAAGAGAGTTATTACAGTGTCAGACTGATTTTATCGAAACAATTCCTAATTTATCTTTGTGGAAAGTAGAGAAAGCAAATAAAGGTGGTTCGCTCCAGAAGTGTTCTCCACACTCAGCATTAGTATGTGAGTTACAGTAGCTCCCAAACTTCGCTAGTGTGTGCGTCATTTGGTTTCCTTTACAGTAGACATGCCTAACTTCCGATTGATCCAGTGCTTTTAACAGGAACCTGCAATCATGGAGAAGATTAGCATTAGCTTTAGTGTTTATGTAGTTGAATACTTTAGTAGTTTCCTTTAACCTTTTGTGTTGTCTCCATTTATTTTCTCTTTTTAGTTTTAATTTATGAGTAAAGCAGATGCCTGTTTTATTTGTAATTCTATAGAGTAGATGGTTCAACACGAAAAACTTTCTCAGTTGTAGTAATGTCAACTGGAGTATTTGATATCAAGAATGTTGTGAAGGCAATAATTAGTTAGAGTTAGCGACTAAAATATTTTAACACGTGAAATATTTACTTGGGTTTAGTCCATGATAAGCAGTTTATACACTTCCTCACGTTCTTTCTTTTGTAGAATTTAGTGAATAAGTTAAACATTTAGGGAACATTTAGGTCGTTTCTAGAAGGACTTAGATAAGATGGTGTGTGGTATCCCGCACACCAAAAAGCTTTTCGTAGAAGGAGATTTCAACGGCTACATTGGAGTGACATTTGGGAGTATGATGATGTGCATGGTAGCTTTGGTTTTGGAGATAGAAACGAAGGAGGAACGTCTCTGCTGGACTTTGCTAGAGCATTTGATTTGGTGATAGCAAACTCGAGTTTCCCGAAGAAGAGGGAGCACTTGGTCACCTTCCGGAGTTCGGTAGCTGAGACTCAGCTTGATTATGTACTTTGTAGGAAATCCGATAGAGGTCTTTGCATGGATTGCAAGGTCATCCCAAGTGAGAACCTCTCGACCCTTCATAGGCTCCTGGTCAGAGGAAGAGGAGGAAGAGGGCGATGTATAGCCGACATAGGATAAAGTGGGGAGCCTTAACGGAAGCTAAAGCGCAGGAGTTGCGGGTCAAACTGGTGACTATGGGGGCTTGGAGGAGTAGTGGGGACGCAAGCGCTATTAGGACCATGACTGCGCAGTGCATTAGGAAAGACGCGAGAGAGGTATTAGGGATCTCAAAGGGTTACTCTAGTGGTCACAAGGGAGACTGGTGGTGGAATGGAGAGGTGCAAGAAAAAGTGGATACCAAGAAAGCAGTGTATTTGAAGCTAGTGGAAAGTGTAGACAAGGAGGAGAAGAGGGCGAATAGGGAGCATTATAAGTTGGTTAAGAAAGAGGCTAATATAGTAGTTACCGCGGCAAAGACTGCAGTTTTTAGTCGTCTGTATAAGGAACTCGAGGGCCGAAGTGGGGATAAGAGGTTGTTCAGGTTAGCCAAGGTGCGAGAAAGGAAGGCGTGTGACTTGGACCAAGTGAAGTGCATCAAGGACGAAGAACGTAGAGTTTTGTTGGATGAGGGACTTATCCATCGGAGATGGCAGACCTACTTCCATAGTCTCTTGAACGATGAGAGGGACAGGAGCATTGTACTAGGTGATTTGGAACTCTCCAGGAGTCGTTGTGACTTTGGGTATTGTAGGCAGATTAGAGTTGATGAAGTTGAGGATGCTATGCGTAAGATGAGCAGGGGCAAAACGACCAGGCCGGATAAAATTTTGGTAGAGTTTTGGAAGAGTGTGGGCAAGGCGTGCTTGGAGTAGCTCACTAGGTTATTTAATATCATTTTTAAAACGAAGAAGATGCCTGAAGAGTAGAGGTGGAGCACAATGGTTCCTGTATACAAGAACAAGGGTGATATCCAAAATTGCAATAATTATCAGGGCATCAAGCTGCTTAGCCATACTATGAAAGTTTGGGAGAGAGTGGTAGAGCTAAGGGTGAGAAGGAGTGTGATTATTTCCGAGAATCAATTTGGGTTTATGCTGGGGCGTTCGACTATAGAAGTCATTCACCTTGTTAGGAGATTGATGGAGCAATATAGGGAGAGAAAGAAGGACTTGCATATGGTGTTCATCACTTAGAAAAGGCATACAATAAAGTTCCGAGTGAGGTTTTGTGGAGATATTTGGAGGCTAGAGGTGTTTTTGTTGCCTACGTTAGGTTGATTAAGGACATATATGATGGAGTAAAGACTCGAGTGAGGATGGTAGGGGGGGAGGGGGGACTCAGACCATTTTCCGATTATGATGGGGTTGCATCAGGGGTCAGCATTCAGCCCGTTTTTGTTTGCTCTTGTGATGGACGTACTGACGCACTACATTCAAGGGAAGGTGTTGTGGTGCATGCTATTTGCATATGATATTGTATTGATTAATGAGATGTGAGACGGTGTGAACGCCCAATTAGAGGTATGGAGGCAGACCTTGGAATCTAAGAGTTCCAAGATGAGCAGCACCAAGACAGAATACTTGGAGCGTAAGTTTAGTGGCGAGACTCTAGGAGGGGGAAGAGAGATGATACTAGACTCGCGGGTCATCCCTATGATAGGAAGTTTTAAGTACCTCGGGTCTATTATTCAGGGGGATGGAGAGAATGATGAAGATGTCGCACTTCGTATTAGGGCGGGATGGATGAAATGGAGACTCATTTACAGTGTTTTGTGTGATAAGAAGGTGCCACCGAAACTTAAGGGTAAGTTATAGAAAGTGATGGTCAGAGCAACGATGTTGTATGGGGATGAGTGTTGGCCACTCAAGATTGCTCATGTCCAAAAGATGGAGGTAGCATAGATGAGGATGTTGAGATGGATGTGCGGGCACACCAGGTTAGATAGGATCAGAAATGAGATTATTCACGATAAGGTTGGGGTGGCCTCTATTGAGGACAAGATGCGATAAGCACGACTTAGGTGGTTTGGTCATGTGAGGAGGAGGAGCACAAACGCCCCGGTGAGGAAGTGTGAGAGGTTGACATTGGAGGGCCTACGGAGAGGTAGAGGTGGGCTAAAGAAGAGGTGGGGAGAGGTGATTAGGCAAGACATGGCGCAACTTCAGCTGACCGAGGACATGACCCTTGATATGAAGGTATGGAGGTCGAGAATTAGGGTAGTATAGTAGGTAGTGTAGAGTGTTCATAACATTAGTATTGGCACGTAGTCTCGTTTTCTGTTGGTAGTAGATTTTTATGACTAACCGTTGTTTTCTTTCATTGTTGATCACTTCCTATCTTGTTGTGTTATTCCGCTTTTATATGGCTTTTTGATATTGTCCTTTCTTGCCTATATTTTCATTAATGTGGTATTTATACTATCCTGAGCCGAGGGTCTATTCGAAACAACCTCTCTATCCTCACAAGGTAGGAGTAAGATATGCGTACACACTACAAAGGTTTGTGTACACACTACCCTCCCCAGACCCCACGGTGTGGGATAATACTGAGTATGTTATTGTTGTTGTTGTTAGGGTGTGTTTGGTATGACGGAAAATATTTTTCGAAAAATATTTTTCCATTTTTCACAAAATAGTTTGGAAAGTATTTTCCTAGATATCACATTTTTCTGAAATTGGAGGAAAATGACTTCCTTAGAAAAAATTAGGAAAACATTTTCCAAAAACTCCACAGACCCTCACATCTAATCCCAACCCCGCCCCCTTCTCTCCCTACCCCACCTCTCCCATCCAGCCCCCTCTCTCCAAAAGGCTTTTTTCTTTCAAATTTCAATTTTTTTCCGTCATCACCCACTATGCTATCCCCCCGCCCCGCCTAACAAATTATTTTTTTACTTCTTTTTTTTGTAATTTCAAATTTCTGTTTTTTGGTTTTTCTAAAACACCCCCCTCTGCCGCCTTGCCTCCCCCAAAAAAAAACATATTTTTTTTTATATATTTTCAGTTTTAGTTTTTTCATCTTTCAGTTTACAGGTTCGAAATTTTACAAGTCAAAGTTATGAGTTCGGAGGTTTATGTGTTTGGAAGTTTACGGGTTTAGAAATTATTAGAAATTATAAAGTTTACGGGTTCGAAAATTCGCGGTTTCGAAGTTTAGCGGATCGGAAGTTTATGAAATTTGTGGGTTTGAAAGGTTGTTGGTTTGAAAGTTTATGACTTCATGTTTATTGTATCTAAATTATTTATGAATACTCTTGAAAAGTTATTTTCCTTAATTTGCGTACCAAACACCACAAAATAAGTAAGATTACTACTTGTTTTCCAGGAAAACATTTTCCACAGAAAATATTTTCCGTTATACCAAACACACTCTTAGTGGAAGTCAATTGTAATTTAAAAATATTTTGTTATTTTGAAGCTAATCTAACATGGCAAAAGAAATGGTAAATTATTACTTTTATTTAGTTAATTTTGATTTTAAAAATTAGAGGTAGCTCATCACTAAGATGTACAGTTCGATTTTTGTCAATTTTTTTTCTTTCTCCTTCCCTTTGTCCATTCGAGCCTGCGTTATTCCGAATTTAAAAAACAAATGTTAATTGTCATTGTTATTAATTATTGAATTATATATTTTTACTATTTAAAGTGTAACAGTTGTGAAAATCAAAGTTATTTGGATGTATCGTAATACTATTATTCTTCTAAGTTCAATACCTATAATATTTAAAATATCAACAATATATTTGCGTGGGCTACATGTTGGGCTAGACAACTATGTGATTTAACCCAATAGGCGTGTTCTTTCTTTGGGCCAACCTATACATGCTTGAGATTTTTACCTCCTATTGCAAAAGTTAGCACCTTATTTATTTTAAATAAATATCATTTTAAAAAATTATATTCTATAGATACTTTTTAATGTTTATAGCAAAATATCTAATTTTGGTTAACTCCTATACCTAAGCCACTAAATAAGATATTCAGTTACACTATTTTCTTTTCCTCTCTACTTTGATACATGGCATTCTCTTCCCACGCTCTCTCCTCTCTCTTTATTCTCTTCTCCTCCCCGCCGACGCAATTATGCTCACCGCCACACCACCATCTTCTGCTTCTAAAATCAGAAGAACAAACAGAGCGTTGATGGTTCAACGACTAAACTCTTTGTAAAGTTAAGTCCTTCGAGGCTTCTACCCCTCGGGCCAAATATATTACAAGCAGGATGATCCCTATCTTTCCCTTCTGGTAGATAAGCTCTCCAGTACCAATCCCTATCTTGAACTGTTACAAAGTATTTACCATTGGATGAGGTAGAATATTACCCAATACCCTAATATCGGCTTCAGCAAGCCTCACAGCAACATGATTAGATAATGCCTCTTAATTTCAAATATACCTTGACCAAATTGTTTCTGATTTGATCAGATTGGTTCTGAGGCGACAATTGGTAATTTATTGGATCGGATTCAGGGACCCATTGGGGCTGAGCACCTTGATTTTCTATTAATATATTTTCAATGTATCACACTGTATTTTCATGTATTTCATTGTATTCATTGTCTATTTTTTCATTGTAATTCAATATATTCCATGTATTTTATTGTATTCACTATTTTTTTTTCATTGTATTTCAATGTATCCCGCTGTATTCTATGTATTTTATTGTATTTATTGTCTCGCTATATGCCATGAATGTATTCATATGTTTTTTTAATTAATATAATTTATGTATTCAAATATATTATATAATTTCTCTGAAGATTGCTATGTTTCTGGGGTATTTTTCGGTTGAGAATCTTTTTTATAACTGGAAATACAAAATTTGTGTGTTGTAATTGAGTTTGTTGAGTTATATTAGGAGTCTATTATGTTAATTGATTCACTTTCCGTTTAAAAACAGTGTAATCCCATGTTTCACGCCATGAATATAGTCGAATACACTCGAATACAATATTTGATTAGCTGGACTTCCCTGATTCACGCCTATTTTTGCCATTGTATTCATGAATACAGTAACTTAAATACATCTAATACATCTTATAACAACAGAAAACGTATCTACAATCTGTAATATAGCAAATGGTATCTATAGATAGCTAATTACCACTAAAAGATAGTGCTTTATGAAAATTTCTCTACGAGCTTTAGTTTACTCAAAAATTGGAGAAATATAATAGGAATGTTCACACAAATAACCGATCGAATTTGCTGTTTACTTTTTCTAGCAAGTATACACAGATTATACACATATTATATATGGATATCATATATTATACATTTGGCAGTTATATTCAGTTTACTTAAATATTGGAGAAATATAATAGGGATCTTTCCACAAATAGCCGGTCGAATTTATTATTTACCTTTTCTAGCAAGTATACATAGATTATACATGGATTACATATATCACACATTCGGCGGCTATTTTAAGTTTAAGCATTTGGATAGGTGGCTATTTAAGTTAATTCTTCAATATAATTTTTTGGGGGGTGGTTTTAACGTTTGACCATGGACAGAATTTTAAGATCAAAAAGTTAAAGTATTGTCCATGCGTCAATACTTGTTAAACTTGAAGTTTTGCCCATGATATAAGATGAGACAAAATCTCAAGACCACCCACTTTAAAGGTTATTTGTGTACTACATCCAAAAAGATCTATAAGGTTATAACACCCATACCACGTCTTTTCTTTTTTTAGTCGAAACCAGAAAAATAAGAAGAATTAAATAATTGCTCACCAGACCGTTTAAATTAAAAATAGCATGCAAATATATAATATAGGTATATAATTCATATATAATGTGTAGAAATTCAAGATCAAAAGTTAAAAATGTTACGGACCAATACTTGTTAAATTTGACGTTTTGCTCATGGGACAAGCGGGAAAAAAAAAATTCAAAACCACTTGCTTTAAGAGCAATTTGTGTACTTCATCCAAAACTAGACCAAAAAGATCTATAAGCTCATAACTCCTATACCATGTCTTTTCTAAATTTATCTAAATAACTGTTTATCTGACCGCTTAAATTAGAAACAATATATGTATATATAATATTTATGTAACACTATTTAAATGTTTCTTTGTTAGTAATTTTTTACATTGTTTTTTGCTTTTTCAATTTAGAGACAATACGAGTCCAACTCACAATTGGAGGGAGTTATTATTTAGTTTGTTATAAAAAAAAAAAAATGCTAGGCAAATATCTCTGATAGACACAAACCATCCACAATTTGGGAAGGTTAAACAATTAAAAATTACTCACTAATTTAAAGGAGATTTGAAATCTGAATCATCTTAAGATTATATATTTTTAAATCCTTTATGGCTCCGTTAATTTAAGGTTAATTATTTTTAAGAAATGCTTAATTAAGATTCCAGATCCATCAGCTATGACCCACTAGGATTCTTTATTTGGAAGCATTTTTTTTTTTTTGTGAGACAAAATATGAAAAATATCTGATCAAACGTGTACTTGCACCGAGTATAAGGAGGGCCTTTTTGTCCCTTTCTTTCTTAATTCACTCATTTTCAATGCTTTTGGCTACGAAAGAGAGCGTTCGAGCAATGATTAAGTTGTTTTCGTGTGATTTATAGGTGATAGATTCGGGTCGTGAAATTATTCAATGATATTTGCATTAATTTTTAAATTACTAAATTAAAATTCTAAACTTATCGATCGTATCCGTCGGTATTATTAAATTATTATTTTTAATTTATCGACGGATATCCGTCGGTATTGATATTATTAATATTATATTATTTTATGATATACCAACGGATATTCATCGGTAAGTAAAATTATTTGACCAACTAC